GCACTGGATCGTTTGCAACTGTATTATGCACAATTGCAGTTCACAAATATTGTCCCCGAAACCACATATTCAAGTCTTAATTACCATCTCCAGGCACAATGTATCCCGGTTTATGGTTCAAAATTCCACACCATATCTACTTTGCTATAGATTGATCCTCCCTTGAACACTAGTATGAACTGCGATAATGAAATAGGCAATAGATAACGAAATTGTAAACGGAAAGCAAGGTTGGATGCAGGAACTAACTAAAGTGCAACAACTGAACACTGTACTCAAAGCAATGGAACGTTTTCCATTTATATTGGTGATTGTTCTGTATGAGGAAGTGTTCATCACTATTTGATTCGTCATTTGTTAAAATCAAGTCGTTTCAGTCCTTATCGTCACTTATTGAAACCAGTTTAATTGGCTGCTAATTTTAGTTCATAGGGAAGCGTTTTACCCACGACAGTCAGGTGACTAAGTTGGATAAGTCAGCCATTAAATACAAACTGTCAATGCGTGTTCAAATGTCATGTCAAAAATCACGAAGATCGATCGCTTACATGAAGGAATACATTTAGAAGTTTGCAAAAACTTAGAAATTTTTTGAGCAGTTTAAAATTTTATCAATTCGTCAAATATCAAATGATTTGAAGAAACACTTGCACAGTTAATCAACCCCCATCGTTTATCGGAATGATTCATTCGATGCATCCACACATCTAATATGCAGTTTCCGTTCAATTTCTGCGCAATTTCACTACAATCCACAGATTCATTTGCTCTCAACTAGTCGTTTTGATCATATTCGAGTTGGTTTTGATCTAATTATGCGACTGCCTCATGCCAAGCAGTTCAAGGAAGGATTACCACAAGCACTTCCTATTTGTAGTAGCTCAATAAATCATAGAACATGATGGTAATGGTACAGAGTTGAACGTCAACAATCGATCGCCCACTTTCGAACATTCAGAATCCTCTCTCTTTTGCTCACAATGTCATCTTTTTGTCACCATACTTGAGCAATATGGCAGACCATTGAGTGTTACTACTTGAACGAATGGTTCCCGTTTATTTGAATAATTTTCAGAGTTATCATTTCGTTTTCTTTCTGAACTGATTCGTTGAAATCCATTCATTCAACAATGACGAATTGCAGTTGATTGTAACCGTTTGTGCTTTAGAGACGACATGGACACGAAAATTTTGTGTTTGGCGAATAGTGTCAATGACATTCATGCATTTTTAACGGACATTTTGAGTGATGATGATTCAGCGCTGATCAGTGGTGAATTAGAAAACTCTCACTGTGTTAATGGAAAACTCAAAAGCAAGAAATTGATTCGATTTCCTTTGATTTCATGGAAAATTCAAAATCTGACACTAGATCTCCTGGATCTCCTTCGATCAAAATGCATTAGATTGCCTCCAGTTCTTATATGATGTGATCTACAGATATCACAACTAACAAACAAGCTTAGTCGAGTTTTATTCGACCTTTCGATTTCGCTCATTCACCAAATGGACAAGAGATCCCATAGGCTGGGGATATGAATGTGACAATGTAAGTGAATAAATCAGATGAAAACTGTTTATTACACTGAATACATATACGATGATATAGATGCTGTTATGCAAAGACTATGCAATCGCGCCATAAAAGGCATCAATGTTGAATCTCCTTCAATTGTATCTATCGTCCCCAGCCACCTCCATAATAACCTCCATAACCTCCATAACCTCCGTAACCTCCCCATCCACAATAACCACCGTATCCACCATACCAATAACCACAACCCCAACCTCCATAGCCGCCCCAGCCACCCCACTGCCGTTTGACACGTGCACTGCAAATTCACACATTAAACTCTACGGTCAATAACTGAAGAAGACAAAATTCCTTCAAAGTGGTGCGGGTTCACTTAAGATGTGGAGTAAACAGCAAACGCTCATATAAACATCCACATGCTGCTACAGGATATCTAAATCGCCCCAGAATTCACATAGCCCGTCTCATAGTTCCACAAGGGTTGATCGCGCTGATCTGTGGAGTTCTCAAATAGTTGCGATGCTTTCTGATAAGAAATTTTGCTGCTGTTAGATCTTTCTTAGGTGAGGATCGATCAGATATCACAAAAACCAACGAAATGTCTTTTGACGAAAGGGATATCTCTACGATAGTCAGTCTACTATCATAAAGCATATTGTGAATAATGATTAATAACATTGATAACAATGTGAAACGATTAGATGTTCGTTCGACTCACTTTAACAAATCCGCCTTCGGAACAATGAACGCCTCAGCTATAAGCGTTTCACCAATAAGCAACAGCACAAGTAAAACAGTTACTCGAACCAAACTTGCGTTCATCTTCGACGCTTCAAACGGAATATGCAACTGATCAAGTTACAACGCAATAAGTTTGCCAGTGGGCGCTTAACGAACGTTTTCAAGATCTGTAACATTCGCAAGCATGAACTGAAATGGTTGCGATAGTTCAGCGGTCGAAACTAGCCATTATGATCTGGTGACTGTAAGCCATCGATCTAGAAACCCATGGAAACGCGACGGATGGCTGAAGAAACACAGTTACCTCACTATCAGACGTAACCTTGAAGGTGGTGGGCAAGTTTGAGGTTTGGAATGAACGNGCAGTATGCTTCGGAATTGTTCCACCACCATATATTTATACGGAAGATGCGCGCGGCTAAATGGAATTTCATATCGAGATGCAATTCGATAAAGTCTTTTGTATCGATGAAATCAGCGCTGATTCTGTTTACGGAACGAGTTTTACTACAACTACTCAAATATTCACTCCACCCTAAAATAATGGCCTTCATCATGGCATTGGTCGGTCGGCTTTCTGGGTTCACAATGTCTACCTTGAAATGGCAATGTGTCTGTCTGGCTTTTGGAAAGAATTTCCGATTTACTCCGCTCAAAAATGACATGAATGACATAAACAATGAGTGGCATTCACGTTTACAGATCGAGAATAGCTCACTAATGTCAGCAAGGAGTTGACATTGCACAATTTTCAGTAAATTCATTCATCCGCAACAGGAAACCTTCGATTTGTGAAGGTTGTTGAGTACAATTAGTAGTAGATTTTCATGTGTTTTTACACGACTGATTACAAGTTTTTTTGCATTCAGTTAACATTTTTCAACTAATTTTCCAGTAGATTTCATTTTTCTTCCAAATTTGATTAAGCAAATTAGCGAAAAAAAATGTGTGTCCGGTTGGTTGCGTGGAATTAGTGGAAGTACAAAACATACATTTTCATGGTTTTGAGCGAAAATACTTGAGTCAAGCGTTAAAATGTTTATTTTTGAGTGTTTACATCCTTGTCAACTATTGAACCGTGTTTATTGCATAAGTGTTTTTTCTCCTAGAGTACTGATGATGCCCAAAAAATTTTTTAAAGTGTTTACTGTTTCCTCATTAATGTTCAAGACTTGTTCATCAATCACATCATTGCTATTTAAGAAGGAAATTTTCACTTGATTGCCGCATAATATAAATTGCTAGAATATGGCATTCGTTTTGTTTACTGTTGATGCATCACTCCTCTGATGCCATCCAAATCTTACGAGCGTGACGGTTCTAGCGGTCATCAAATTTCATCGCTATTCGTCGAAGAATGAGTAAGCATAGTGAAATGTTCAATGAACCGTTACAGTATACACACCTTCGCGATCTAAATATGGCATACGTTTTGATCTAAACCCAGAATAGCGTCTGATATGATGGTTTAATGAAGACAGTAAAGCTGATTCTTTAAAACGTAGTAAACCTTCGAAAATGAACAAAGTCTTTACCAGTGAACCGACATGTTGATACAATGATAAGCATTTCAGTGATAGAGCCGA